ATGCAACATCGTAAAAAAGAATCTAGAAAAAAGAACATCACACCAATTTTTCAATTAATATGTCACAAAAAATACAATAATCATTCGAAGCTATCTCTTTTTTTCCCAAACTTTTGCCTATCTCAACAATCAAAATATTGAATTACTGTTACAAATTATCAACAATTCTTCGTTTTATGCATTGATTTTTTTGATACATCTGATATTTTTGGTCACAGTTTTGTTTAGAATTGCTTTCAAATTTTCAAAAGCTTTAATAGTTCCAATAGTATATGAGAGTCTTTTTCATTGAAAACAGTGATCATCCCTCATTTGAAAGTAAAGTTTGGTTGTAACTACCCCATTTATGCTAGTAGAAGACTTTGCACTAGTATTTCAATGGTACTTAGAACTCTTTGCTTAGAAACAATCATGAATCTTATTTCATAGCAACCTATTCTACATTATCAGTTTTTACACAATTATTCAAACAAAATTCGATGATCAGTATTGAATTGATTTTAATAAAGTTTTATTGTTTCGAATTCGTCGATATGGTAAAAAGAAACGATTGATGAAATGCAATCACATTGAAAGAAATCGATGACAACAATAATAAAACTACATTAGTGGATGTTTTTATTTTGGTGGTTTGTGCGTTGTTTTTATGCATTTTTCTTTAGTTTCAAAAACGATTGAAGTAGTTTTTATTCTTCATTAATGATATGCAACACAGAAGATGTTCTGATGCAAGCAGAATAGATATTTTCTTTTAATGTGTTTGCTATCGATATGTATTTATTGTAAACATTCTCATAGTGATAAATGTATGTATGGTACAGGATCTTTCTTGTTAATTATCATTGTGACACACACGTTCAACTTGTACGAGATCTCGAAAATGAAGAAATAGAAACAGGATACTTATCTGTAAATATTTTCACATAAATTCTTTTTATTTTACATATATTTTGAATGAATATAATATAAATCAAAGAACTACTACAACAAGATTGTTAATGATGATACAATGTGTAGTTGTGAATTTTGAGATAATTGAAGCGAAAAATCGACCCTCACACTCATACTGTGTACTGATGTTGTGCAAAAGAGGTACTTTAACATTCATTAATAGACATACAGTTTATTCTTAATAGCTTCGGTAATTTTGAGAAAATATATCTCGCTGGTGTTTAAATATAATGTTGTTTCAATTCAATATTGAAACTATTTTTCGTGCCGTTTTTTTTTGTGCCTCATCAACATATATGTCATGAGAAAAATGAAAAAGAAAAAATTTCAATCCATGATGTTTTCGTTGTTTCATGTTTTGTTTTCGCCGAAAAGAGAAAAAGACGAAGTATCCAACACATTATTGCTCAAACAATTCAATCAATGAAAAGTAAACGAAAGTTGGAAAGAAAAATAATGCCATTAGGTATGTTGTTGGCAACCATATATTCCATTGCAACTAGGTAGAGATTGCTTCAAGTGTCAACAAAACAAAAACAGACACTCAACATCGAATATATATAGAAAAGAGAAACTTTATCCAAATAGCAACTCATTATTCATTCTATTCAACTACTGATTCAAAAGGAGAATATAACGTCAAAAATGAGTCGACAGCGACGTATGGCCGAAAATTATTTGGTGATGTGGGTCGATGCGAATATCGATATGAAAAACGAAGATTGCCAGAACACACTGACGCAACTGCGTAGTGTTGTTAACGTAGTGAACCCATGTACCACGGCTGAAGAATGTATTGATAAACTCCAGGAAAACAAAGAGGAGACATCATTTGTCATCTCCTCAGGTTCACTTGGCCAAGCACTTGTACCCGAAATTCATGGCATGCCAAAATTAGATGCCATATACATCTTTTGTGGCAACGAACAACCCCACCAAGAATGGACTAAAAATTGGCCCAAAATTAAAGGTGTGCATACATCAATCAAGCACATCTGTGAAGAACTGGCACCAGCTGTCAAACAATCCAATCAAGATCAAGTTACAGTCAGTATTATCGGTGTCAACGAAGGAGGTTCTAGCGAAAATCTCAATCAGCTAGAGCCTTCCTTCATGTATACTCAAATATTCAAGGAAATACTCCTTGATATGGAACATGGTCAAAAAGCCGTTAAAGACTTGGTCACATATTGCCAAGAACAATACCAAGGCAATACCAAAGAACTGAAATTGATCGATGAATTTCAACGTACTTATCATCCAACATTGGCATTATGGTGGTATACACGCCAATGCTTCACATACAAAATGCTCAATCGAGCATTACGAACACTCGACGGTAACATTATCATCCGAATGGGATTTTTCCTGTGTGATGTTCATCGACAAATTGAAGAATTACACAGCCAACAGGTCAGTCAATATCATGGAAAGTCCTTTTTAGTTTATAGGGGTCAAGGATTATCGACAAGTGGCTTTGAAAAACTTGCAAAAAACAAAGGTGGTCTCATATCTTTCAACAACTTTTTATCCACCAATACAAAACAAGATGTTTCCCTCCGCTTCGCCAAAGGTACCTTAGGAACAACCGAAATGGTTGGTATCCTTTTTCAAATGACAATAGATCCTACTGTCTCATCGACTCCTTTCGCCTTCATTCAGGAGGTGAGTTATTACAAGGGCGAAGAGGAAATTCTCTTCTCCATGCACACCGTCTTTCGAATTGGTGAAATTCAACAAGTTGACAAGAAAAATCCACTTTATCAAGTGGACCTCAAACTTACGTCGGATGATGACCAACAACTTCGTCGATTAACTGACCGTATACGAGAAGAAGTCGGCGGCACTGGATGGTATCGACTGGGTCAATTGCTGCTCAAAATAAGTCAATTTGACAAGGCTGAAGAATTATATACAGCACTACTAGAACAGACATCCAGCGACGGTGATAAAGCATTTATCTATAACCAGCTTGGATGGTTGAAAAACGACCAAGGACAATACAAAGCAGCAGCTTCATTTTACGAAAAATCATTCGAAATCTATCGAAGAACTCTTCCGGAAGATCATCCTTCATTGGCTCCTACATATAGCAACATCGGTGCAGTGTATAACAACATGGGTGACTACTCTAAAGCACTTGAATTTTACGAAAAAGATCTCGAAATCACGAAAAAAGCTCTGCCTTCGAATCATCCCTCATTGGCTACTTCCTACAACAACATCGGTCTCGTGTATAACAATATGGGTGACTACTCGAAAGCACTTGAATTTTACGAAAAATCACATAAAATAAAAGAAAAAGTTCTGCCTCCGAATCATCCCAATTTGGCTGGTTCCTACAACAACATCGGTGGAGTGTATAAGAACATGGGTGACTACTCTAAAGCACTTGAATTTTACGAAAAAGCACATAAAATTTTCGAAAAAACTCTGCCTCCGAGTCATCCCTCATTGGCTATTTCCTACAACAATATCGGTCTAGTGTATGATAACATGGGTGACTACTCGAAAGCACTTGAATATTACGAAAAAGCACATAAAATAAAAGAAAAAGCTCTGCCTCCGAATCATCCCGAATTGGCTACTTCCTACAACAACATCGGTGGAGTATATGACGGCATGGGTGACTACTCGAAAGCACTTGAATTTTACGAAAAAGCACTTAAAATAAGAGAAAAAGCTCTGCCTTCGAATCATCCCTCATTGGCTATCTCCTACAACAACATCGGTCAAGTGTATAACAACATGAATGACTACTCGAAAGCACTTGAATTTTACGAAAAAGGACATCAAATAAATGAAAAATCTCTGCCTCCGAATCATCCCAATTTGGCTGGTTCCTACAACAACATCGGTGCAGTGTATAACAACATGGGTGACTACTCGAAAGCACTTGAATTTTACGAAAAAGCACTTAAAATAAAAGAAAAAGCTCTGCCTCCGAATCATCCCTCATTGGCTACTTCCTACAACAACATCGGCCAAGTGTATGATAACATGGGTGACTACTCGAAAGCACTTGAATTTTACGAAAAATCACATAAAATTCTCGAAAAAGCTCTGCCTCCGAATCATCCTCATTTGGCTGTTTCAAAGCATGATATTGGCCTTACATATGAAGACATGGGAGAATACTCGAAGGCCAGTCAGTTTTATCAACGTGCTGTTGATATCGCACAAATTTCATTACCCTCAAATCATCCACACTTACAATTGTATAGACAACGCCTTCAGGACGTAAAAAAGAAAATGTAACTGTAATTTTTTCTTTTCGCTTGCTCAATAAATTTATTCACATTGCTAATCATTTCAATTTTTCTCTGCTCATTTTGGCTTACCCGCGCGCGCGACAAGGGAGAGATCCCTCGTCAATGCCATAGGTACCACAGGCGGACCACGCCGGACTGGTAGGGCAATGGCCGAAGGTATACCGTATTAACGATAGGGACCAATGACACATAGAGGCCTTCCCTAGCACTACACTGCTTCGCTATGGCACGAAAGTTCCTGTCCCTATTGAATCCGACAACGTAGTTCTCTGACCCACACTAATAACATTCATAACTCAACTCATCTCATCTCAAATGTACTCATACTCATACTCATAATAACTTATCTCAACTCAACTCAACTGAATATGTAAAAAATTTGTTTTTTCTTACTTCTCAATATTGTATAATATCGAAACTCATCTAAGAAAAAAGAAAAAAAAAAGTATTATTAAATATATAATGAATTTATTATTTACCTCATATAGAATTTAATAATATAATTATCATTGTAAATAATATCATAATAATAATAATAAACCCGGGTATATAAATACATTGTAATGCATTATAATAATACAACTCGAGTGTATACTGTTTCATAATGATGTATTCATGTTTTTATATA